AAATTCCTACCGCAAGCGAGGTGGAGCCAGTGACAAAGAGCAAGCGGTGTCGTTTCAAATCTTGCCCGCACTGCTCTAGTTTAGTACATCGGGAAATACCGACATATGAACTTCTTTCATCACAGAACCTTACACTTAAAATGCGCAATATATATGTTTGTAGTATGTAAGTCTGGCTTCATGTGGGTACATATGATACCGACCATGGCATCAAAATATCAAGATGCCGGGTTTATCCACGACATTTCTGTTAAAATGCTTCTGAAAACAGAGGAGATCTTGAGGTAGAACACCTCGGTTGTTTAAAACTTCGCAGCTGTATGACCAGATCTGGCGCGGGGCGTTCTCTATCCCGAGTATGTTGGGTACAGCTAAATAAATGAATGAAAACACCGGGTACCTTGGAGCTCATTTTACCTAACCATGCCGCTGCCTACTTTCTTTATCGACAACTGACGCTGCTATTGGTATGGAAGCTTGTGTCTTAAAATAATCTGTGGGCCTTTTTTTTTCCCAGGCGGCTAACACCCAGAACGGAATATCTGTTACTTTCTCAGCCTCACTACCACTAGCGGCACGGAGGCAGAGCCGGTGGCGGGGCGAAGCACGGCCCGCCCCGCGGGCGCCGCGCGCGCGTCATCAGCGGGCGCCGGAGAGGCGGCGAGGCCGGCGGAGCTGCGGGAGCGGCTGGCGTTCCCTTCGTTGCTGGGCGGTGCTGGTGCGGCCGTGGTGGGCAGGGAAGGGCCGGGACCAGGCTCGTGGGCTTCTCTTCTGCGTGCCAGACCCGCGGGACGGAGGTCGGAATTGGGGCGGGATGGGGGGCCTGGGGCCCGTTCCCTGTGAGGGCTGTTTGCCGCTCTCCTTCGCGGGCTCTGCGGGACGTGAAGGAGCGCGTTGGCCTCTTTTACAGGTGCATGAAAGATGCTCGGAGAGAGGACCTCATTGATATGTAAAAATATCTGAAGCGAGGGGTGCCAAGAAGATGAAGCCAGGCTCCTCTGGTTGGTGCCAAGCACTAGGACAATAGGCAGCAGGCAGAAACTGAGGCATAAGAAGTTCCACCTGAATAGGAGGAAGAACTTCTTTACAGTGCGGGTGACTGCTCACTGAACGGATTGTTCAGAGAGGTTGCAGAGTCCCCCTCACTGGAGATACTCAGAAACCACCTGGGTGCACTCCTGTGCCATGTGCTCTAGAATGATTCTGCTTAAATGGGGAGGTCGGACCAGGTGACCCACTGGTGTCCCTTCCAGCCTTTCCCATTCTCTGCTTTGCTGAAGTGACTTGTACATGGTACCCCCATGTCTCTGCAATGGATTCTGGCTGCACCCCAGCACATGTTGCTGCATCACTGGGCCTGTGGGCTCTGCCAGCTTGGTGGCACTTAGGGCTGCAGGGTGTGTGAAGGCCAGCTAAACTATGGTACCTCCCTGCAAAACAGAACTGAATTCACTGCTGCCCTTAGCAGCAGTATAATTGTACTGCACAGGAAGCACTACCCCAGGTTATTGCCTACAACTGTGATCCACCTTAGTTCAGCTGTGTTTTAGATGTCTGCTGTTTTCCAGTGGTAATGGAAAACATTACCACTGCACATAACTTACTGCAATGTGCTGACACAAAAAAACTGTAGCACATGTGAGTTAAGATGCCACTATGATAATGGTGTACCATACTTGAAAGCTGTAGAGTTTAATGGATTCTTTCCAGTTCTCCTAAATGGAGTGACGTAGTGGGAGTTTTAAAAAGATGGTTTGTCAAGTGTTATCAGACTCATAAAGTATGAAATGTCTCTGCCCTGTTTTCAGTATCATAGTTTTCCCAGCTGAATTTATGCTGAAACAAATGCTGAAGCTGAGGGAAATAATATTTGCTGTAAGCAAAAGCATCAGAAAGCCATTCTCATAAGGAAGCATCAAGAAGGATATTTACTGGCATAAGGGTTAGGAATTCTTGTCTTCTGTGTCAGAATGGCAATACAGAAAACAGCAGCCTCAAAAAACTTAATAGGAAATATTTGTGTTCTTGTCTAGACTTAAATTTGGTGGGGAAAAAAAGTTTATGTACAGTAACCACCTTAAAATTCATGGTTGCAAGGACATTTACATGTTAGGATAGGATTACTTAAAGATTGGTGGAGTTTTTGTGGAGTATATGTAACTATTTAGTCTGATGCCCTGAAGAAATACTTGTCTTTAAATTGAAGTCTGAACAATCAAAACCATTATAGGACATTAAGAGCTGTTTGGAGAATAGCATTGAGTTATTACTCTTGATTTGGTAGGATTTGAAGGATTGAATTTCATCTATGGCCACTCATTGTTTGGGGTTTTTAGTTTTGTGGGGGTTTTTTGTTGTCATTTTGTTTTGTTTTTTTGTTTTTGTTTTGTTTTGCTTTTTATTTTCTGCTACTCTTCTCCCCACAGTCTGTTCCCAGCATTTCTAATACCTTAGAACAACAAATAGTGTATCAGGTTAGCTAGTGTGTCAGAGGGGGAGGAAAAATGACAAGGCTTACCTTCTTTGTTGGCATCATTGTTACATGAGTGGCATGTAAGAAATTATTGAACTTTATATTTTCAGCAAGGAAATTCTTAACATTGGCAGGAAGGAGGAAAAAAAATATTACTCATTGGTCTTTAATGTTTAAAATACTGTTTAATATAAAACATAGTGTTGTCCTCGTCCTTAGATATTTTCTATACCAGAGTGGTAAAGCTCTGTGGAACCTGATGTTACTTTGCTTTTAAGAAGTCAAACTAAATTACTTTCTGAAGTCTCTTTCAGCCTGAATTAACCCATGCCCTGTGCATCAAATATAAATGTAATTTGTTTGTGTTTACTTTTAAGGAAGTGGTTTCATGTTCTCTTACCTTTAGCTTGAGATATTAAAGTGATTGTGTATGCCTTGGAAACAAAAAAAACAAACCAAAAAATCCCACACCCAAGCTAATGTGCATGTTGTGTGTTTTTTTGTTTTAGAACATGGATTCACAGAAGGATGTTCAGCCTCCAAAGCAGCAGCCAATGATTTACATTTGTGGGGGTAAAGAAAAGTCATTACTGATTCTTTTATTACTTGATACTGGAGATTTGGTGTTTTAATAATGAATGGTGCTTAGTCATTACACTGAAGGGTGCATAGATACAAATAGTTGCAGTGTATGTCCTGATGATGTTTAAAGCTTTATGCAGTGATGGTGACACGTGTATGGGGGTATATACACAGAGTTGTGGAGGTAATTCCCTGGAGCTTGTGTTGCTGTGTGGAGCTCCTCGATCTCTGTATGTTTTATTGACAGTGCTGTAAGGGCACTCAGCTTTCCCTGAAGTACAGCAGTCAAATTCTCTCTTACCTATAGACAAATCAACAACTTAAAAATTGTTGATTTTCAGGAATCCCTGGAATATTTTGTCTTTTAAGACAATAGAGTTTGGGCTTTGGAGGGATGAACTGAAATTGTCATTAGTAGATGATCTAGTATCAAGTGTGGAATGTGTTCTATGCAGGAATATTTGGGTGATTTTAGCAAGATTCTCTTTTGTCTTAATGTAAGTGAAGCTTGCTTTTTATTTTCTCTTTTTCTTTTTTTTCATGGTATCTTGTTACCTTTGAGCTCTTGATACAGATTCATTGCACTTGCTATGTTTGTTTGCCACAAGTAGGAATTTGACTATCACAACTTTTCAAAGTTATCTGTGCATTAACAGTGCTGTTCTTCTTTGCCCCCACTTCCTTTTTCATCCTCCATAACATCAGAATGTCATACAGAAAATGAAATAAAGGCAAGAGATCCTATCAGGTGCAGAGAATGTGGCTACAGAATAATGTACAAGAAAAGGACAAAAAGATGTATCCTTTTACAAGTGCACTTGAATGCCTTTGGGGAGCTGTGAAGGGAGACAAAGGGAAATGGAATGTAAGGGAAACAGAATGGAAGATTCAAAAAATCACATAGCAATTCTTCAGGGTCAAAAATCAATACAGGAGAGCAAACTACTATAGAACAATCTCTGCAGTGTTATTTGGCACCTGGATTTCTTTTCTGGTACTTTGTCTTTTTTTTTTTTCCCATTTTCTTTCTAGATTAAGTTACTATAGTCTGATGGGTAACATACTGGGAATTGTTGATATTATCCAGCATCTTATTAAAGATGACTTTTGAAATACTTTATGTAGAAAGTTGTGATTAGATTTAGACAGTCTCTTTTCCTCTCCCCATCTTTTTTTCAACCACAACACATTTTTTCTTTAACTACATTATTCCAGTGGTAGTTTTTGATGCTCGATGATGTCTGCTGAAGATAGTGACTTCATGATACAATTTTTCTGATAACTTTGTTCTGTAAAACTGTTTGTGTGTAAATGCACGCTCTTATTTGTCTTTTAAGAGATTGAAATATTAAAGTTCATTATAAAACTAAATTTTGTCTATATTGTCTTCCATCAGTAGATTTCTAAAGCTGTTTAAATTGTACTCAAAGTATGCAGTGTTTTTTAAATTCAGTGATGATTGTGTTCTTTTTGAGTTATCTTTGTTTTCATTACTCTCATCTAAACTTTATTTGCATTTTAACTTTGCTAAATGTTCTTTGGACTCCAATGAACTGCATAAAATAACTGTGGTTTGAATAAATTCTACTGAAAATAAATAGAAGGCTAGATTTGAAACAGATCTGGATTTCAAAAAAGAAAATCTTAAAGGACTTCAGAGCACCCGATTCTGGCATCCAGTGGACATGTCAAAAGTATGGATGTCTGAAAGTGTGAAAAAATAATTTCTCCTGAAAGAAGAGGGAGAGGGAGGCAAGTTAAACATTAAGGAGCAATGTGGAAACCGAAATTTCTTAAGTGCTGTTTGACTTGTTTGTATTCAAGGAAAGAATTAAATCTGTTGCAAAGATTTTTTGGGTAGCACCCCAAAAAAGTGGGATCTTGTTTTGCTTTTCAGATGACTTTTCAGGGGTCTGTAATAAGTGGTGGGTTTGTGATGATGAGCCAAAACTTTTTGCATCTGTCTGTTTGTAATGTGTGTTATGTAATACCACTGAAGGGTACTACTCCATACTGCTGGATTGTGTGTGCCTGATCTCCATTTTGATGGTGCTGAGATAACTTGCTTATCTCATCACTGTAATAATATCTTTTTTAAGGTCTGCATGACTGTGCGATGGCTTGTAAATGAACTGCAGTGGCTTGTTATAGGGGATGAAAAGAGCATTCTGAGATGCTGTTTTGGGGCTTTTGGTTAAGATTTTCTTAGGTACCTGATCTCTGCTACAAAGACTAGATTTTTTTTTTCCTGGAAACCAGATACACTCGGGTATAAATGATGACCTTTTTTAACACACAGCTGCCATCAGTTCACCAGCCCGGGCCGCACAGTGTGCACCTTGTGCCTGCACAGCAGAACGAAGGGGTCGGCTGCGTCACGGCTGCTGGGAAAGGTGAGGAGGAGCGGGCGGCAGCAGCGCTCCCGAAGCTCGCCGGCAAACGGAGGCGGGCTTGTCCCTGTGCGGGCACGCCGGGTGCCTCTGGCTGCGGACTAAGGCGGCGGAGAGCCCCGCTGCCCTCGGGAAGGGGCACGGACATTCTTTGGAGAGTAGTCCTGGGGGAGTGCAGAGCTGACGGGCAACACTTAACTGGGGACACCGGCGTCGGGAGAGGGACTGCTTGCTCTCCGCTGAGTGAAATACTATGCTGAAACACAAGGGTGATGCGCACCCCGGGCGCTGTATCTCTGCCCGCCCTCGGCAGGCGCTCCCCTCTCCCCTCAGCCCGGATCCCCGCCCTGAGCCCAGCTGCGCCTGCGCGGCCTGGGCGACGGCCGGGCGGCCCCGGCTGCGGTGTGGGCAGGGCCGCGTCCGTGTCCCGGAGACAGCGCGGCCGCGGGCAGGTGGGTGCCGAAGAACGACAGGGCGACGGCAGTGTGGCCGCTGGAGCCCGGCGGGGCTCTGCGGGAGCGTCGGCAGGGCATCCCTGGGGCGGGCAGCGCCGTGTCCCCGGCGCCATGTTGTACATAGCAACAGTTGCTAGGCACGGGCCGGCCGCGCTGCCCGGGCTCCGGCGGGGCGTCAGGGCAGCCCGGGGCCGGCCTGGAGGTGAAGCCCCGATCCTGCCGGGGCTGTGTGGGGAGGCTGTACTGCCGCCGGGCTGTGTCACCACGAGCCCTGGGCACCGCGGTGCCCGAGAGCCGCGCTGGGCAGCTCCTCCCGGCCGCGGGAATAAACGGGAAAAACCGCCGGTGGTGATGAGCTTTTAATTCTTCTACTCTTCTTTAATGATTTCCTACCATTTGTCCCTCTTCCATGCGACTTCTTCCCTTTCCAGTACTGAAACCGTAAAGTCTTGGGGCAGAATCTCTATGCAACACCTAATTGTTACCAGTTATTATTTAAGTGCTACTGTATTGTAAACATTGTTGTGTAACTACAAATTAACGTGCGTAATTATGCAAGACATTAGAGCATAATTATTTTAATTTGGTCTATAACTACACATAGCTGTTTTCACATACTAGCTAGTTGCCTTTATTGTATTTCTTCAAAATTAACTGATTGCTTTGTGCACCATATAAAAGGGGGGGGGAAAAGAATTTCAGCTCCATAGAGCTTGTGGTCGAAACAGAAAAAGATGCAGATGAGCAGATCAAAGGGACAGGGAGACAGAAATGTCTCATTTGAATCCCTCATTTCTTCGTTTACAGACTTACTGGAAAAGATTCAGATTCGTGTGTAACATAATCAGAGACCCAGAAAATGCAGTCAGCGAGGAAAGAGAATTGAATTTATTTTGTCTACAGAGAAGCCAAAGATTTTTGTTCCTTTAGATATGTTGCACTGGTTAATGTCTTCCCCCCTCTGAAACAAGGAGTGTCCTTCACTATCTTCACCTTTGTGATTATCCCACTTGGTTAAAACAGGTATGTGTTAAATAGAACAGAGAATGTGGTAGGCAAAAATTGGCAATTTTTAAAGTGGTTTTTCTGAATTGTTCTGACTTGCAGTAGAGTTGCATACTTTTACAAAGCATATCTCATACTTCTGCCTGTAAATCTCTAGTCAGGGACAGTTAATGTGATCAGGCCTTCAAATCTGATATTTTTTCTTTTACAAGTCTGCTTGCATGAGAGAGTGGAGTGTGAGCAATTTTATTCCTTAAATTTGCATTACTTCAAAATGTAACTAGAAGCTCACAGAATAATTTTTTTTCTTTTAATATTTAGTTATGGGTGATGAGTCAGTACCATATTTTCTGGGTGAAGGAACCACTAAAACATATCAAATACCTATTAGTCATCTGGACTACAAATTCATTGAGAAATGCACAGATGTTAAGCACCTGGAAAAGATTCTCAGGGTATTAAGGTAATTTTTTTTTTTTACCTTCATGAATAATTATATTCCTGTTCTGTAAAATTTGAGGGAGACCCATTTCTATTTGTCTGAACCTGTCTGTGACTTTCTAATTTCAAATTAAAGTACGAAGTTAAAGTGATCATGCTAAAAGTGTCCCAAATGACACTAGAAATCCAAGTATTTTTTTAACTACCCAAAAGTTTGAGTAGCTCCGTGCTAGGTTTTTTTAAATGCTGCCACTCTCTTTTGGTTCCCTCCTGATCCATGTTGCATGACTAGCAATTTCACATGCCACACCTGTTTAACTTTTGCTTTAAATGACACAAGTTTCTCTTTAATGAGCACTGTGGTGATAACTTTTGAACTGTGTATGTGGGCATTGGAAAATGGTTGAAGGTTAACTGTGATTTTCTAATAAAAATGTTATTAGATGTTAGTAAAATTGGTTTGTAACAGGAAAATAGTTCTCTGAAGTCACTGTATGGATTACATATGGAGGGAAACATGGAGGATGTGATGCAGTTCTTTTTTGTTAACATTTCTATCTTTGCATTCTAAAGGTCTGGTGAGGAGGGGTGTTACCCTGAACTGACGTTGGCTTGTGAGAAGCGAATTGAGTGTTTGGATCCAAGGAGCAGAGCTCTGAGGAAAGATAAGCCTGCAGCCACAGCTTCTGATTTCACAGCTGAAGAATGGCAAGCAATTAATAGTGAACTGATGGTACAAGATCTCATTTATAGTGGTCCATAATATAATCACTGTAATGTATCAGTCTTCCTCTTGTGCCGAAGTAGAATGTAATTATTTGATTGAAAGAGGAAATGATCAAAGGATTATGTTTTAAAATTTATTTTCTTGCTTAATGTACTGAACATTAACTGCTCATTTTAACTCTGCAGATTCTATTTTTTTTTGCAGATCACTTTTTATTCAAAAAACCACTATTGCTCTTTGTCTTAATTGCTTTTCTCAATTAAGAGCAGTGCTTTTTAAGGATAATTGCTCTTCTGCCTTAAGGTAAAAATATATTATTTATTCATTTTCAGAGCTGGCTGTCAGAAATGAATGAAGATGATAAAAAATCACAGCTCCTGAGAACAGACACACCAAATGAAAGACCAGATAACTTGCCTCCCATTCGTTGTTCCAGCAGCTGCCCTCCCACTAATCAGGTATCTCCAGTTTTTTTTTTAAACTGAGAGATTTTATATGTATGAACTTCTAATCATTGTGCCTTTCTTACTATATTTATTTTGTTGACCAGAAAATAAAAACCTTTAAGCTCCCTTGCAAAAGACCAATGCTTAAACAAAAGTACTTTTTTAGTACTAGCACGTGTATTGCAATGATATTTTCATTCTGATCAAGAATTCACTGCCAGAGCAGATCTCTTTAACCAGCCTTTTATGTTCTTCAATTCATATTTCCAAGTACTGCTTAAGCATGTCAACTAGGCTCCTTCTGGATGAAATTATGCCAGGAGATTTTCTCCAGCTGCCAGCAGGCTTTTGTTCCATGGGGCCAGTCAGAAGCCAGTCCAAAACAAACACCCTGGAACTCATACAGTGGGGATGTTAGAGCATCTGCAGGAATTGTTTTACTCTGTAGCCACTCCTGTACTGGATAGTGCTGGTGTATATGTAGCCTTTGATTGTGTTGGTACCTTGTGTTGATATTCCCACTGCAGCTGTACAGCATAATTCCCAATTTAGCCCTTAAGCAGACTTAACAAATCTTCATGACTACAGAAAACATATTTACATTTTTCCCCCAGGTATTAGTTTCCTTATATTTTGGTGAGTTTTACTTTTTTTTCATTTATTTATCTGCCTGAAATAATTTTTTTCCGGCCAGCTTTTCTTGCTAAATACAGTGCTACTGAAGTGATTGGCAGACAAGTAGGTGTGGATGGGATTTCTCTGAATTGTCAGGTATTGTCACAAATCAGTTCAGTCTGATTCTCAAGTTTTTTTGTTTTTAATTCTGGGACACTGCAATAGGAAATTCATTAAGCATTGTTCTTTTTGGAGGTTTGTGAGTCAGAAACATTATGAAGGGATCCTTACTAGTTGGGTGATCTTTCATATTAATTCCTATTTTCTTGAATAATTATGTATTAGCAAATGCCTGATCTGTGTTCTTATGTTGTCAGAAAATACTTCTTATTGTCAGCTGGTACATAGATGTTGGACCAAGACATTTGGGATAGCTAGGCAGTCTCTGTTATGTGGTATACAAGAAGCTGGAGATTCCAGTGAATGTTTTATAAGTGGTTTGTATTGAGACTAAGGTGTGCTTTGGTTTGGTTTGTGGTTTGGTTTTTCTTTTTAATTAATGTAATTAAAAGAGTTACTTTTAATTAAAATGTACTCTTTAATATTTTGCAATATATGTTCCTCTTGACTGTCCTATTTTGCTGAGATGGATTGTGCCACTGTAGCTTTATCCTTGATTAATGTCCTGTGTAATTGCTAGAACAGAAAATGGTTTAATACCATGTGAAATCAGTAAATCCAGTTTAGAATGTTAGCATAAAGTGATGGAAAGTGTCTTGAAATCTAGGATATGCCATGTTACTAAAGAGAATGTGTTCTCCATTCAAAGACAAAATATTCACCTTTTTTCCCTCTTCCTTTAAACCATGCAGCAGTCTTCAGATCAAATTTTGTTCTTTTGCTCTTCAGCTTTTGTTCTACCTACTAGGTTTTGGTGTTAGCATTCAGGAAACCTAGATTTAGCTTTATGCTTTACCTGTGGTATGTGTTTTCCATTCCTTTTGTCTAAGCAGACAACCTCTGAGGGAATTGTAACCTGTCCTGGAAGAGAGCAGGAAAGCCTGAAACATTTTATGCAGCAGTACAGTTATACCACTACCAGATCCCTACTGAATAAAAATAAGCTGTTTATATAGCATACACTAAATTTATACCTGCATCAGGAAATCTCAAATAATTGGATAATGTACATTAGCTTTTCTTCTTCAATCAGCTTTTCTTTTTTTTTTTTTTTCTTTCTTTCTTTCTTATAAAGGTATGTGTCATCTTACAGTTTTTAAACATTTGGCTTAACAATTGGGACTATAATTATTTTTCAGATTTGCATCATATAATTTTGTAAGTGGGTTCAAGTTTAGAATCATCCAAATTTATCCTTTCTGCTGGAAATAAATGCACAAAGCCATCCATAATTTTATGTTATTACTTGGTTGGAGACTGTTCATCTGATCTGATACATAAAAAGTTCAGCATTTTCAATGAATCCAGTTCTGGAAATCATTATTGACCCTAAACCAGTGGATTGCACTAATGAAAGCAAATTTGGTAAATGAAAGCATCTTGTTTTGTCTGTAATCAGATTTTCTTGCTGATACTATATGCAGGTGTAATTTCAATTCACTACTGATAGTTTGTAACTCTGTATAGTGTTTTCTTTTTAGTGAATCCGTGGAGGGGGGATTCCAAAAATGGGCTGAAAAAGAGTAAAATTTTTGCAATATTCCCCTCTATTACACAATGTGGAAATTTCTGTTTTACACCCCTCTTTTCCTATCATGTTGCCCAGAACTGTCTTAACTGTCCACACTGCATAATTATTATTTTTGCTGCCTCATTTTGTCCAGGAGAGAAGTAAAGCATGTGTTTAAAGATATTAATATTCAAAAGACTGTATTGATGGCATTTCAGCTTAGGCTTCTTTGCCAAACATGGTTTTCTAATACTGTTCCAGAAAGATTTGCATCCTCAGATACCTCCTCATGCCACAGCCCAGAGCATGCAAAATGCATACAAGTTTTATGTTATAAAAATCCACCATGATAGCATCAAATAGCCTTTGTGTTGTTTTGGATATTCTGAATTAAAAACTAACACTGGTTTGCTGCCATAGAATAGTAATGTTTTAGGACAGCACACAAGGCCCACAGGAGAACCAAGGCCAAGTTGTGTCACCTGTACCAAAGCCAATTTGTGTGTTCATCTTCGGTCCAGAAAATGTTCAGTGAGCTTCAAACCCAGTGGGATTCATGCATTATGAATTGTAGCAGGAAACATGACAAGCCCAGAGATTTATTTTTTTGAGTTCCACAGCATGCAAGTGTACATTTTTTTATCAAAGCCTCTTGGATGAGATCCTCTGAAATACTATTTATCAGAAATTCCTGACTCTGTAGGAATCACAACTTGATTACAATTATTTCAAATATATGAGACCTGAGATTTTTTTTTTTAAATTGTGGGGTTTTGAGTCAATGTTTCTTCCTCATTTCTTAACTGCACATGCTGTAGTTCTCTCCCTAAGCTGGAGTTGCATTAGTGTCAGTACCTTATGAGAGTCTCTTCTGAGAGCTGCAGTATTTTTGCTCATTTAAATTAAGGACTTTGGTTGAAAAAAAATACTTGATATTCATTAAAATAGTAATATACACCAGGATGGATATATAAGGATAACTCATGTTTCAGGAAGGTGTATTTAGGAGCTCCCTCCTCTAAACATGTGTTGATCACTGAACATATTTGTCATTTTGTCTCGCTTCCTGAAAGACATAACATTAAGAATAATTCTGGAGTTATATACTACAAAAATTTGTGTAACCTAACATTATAGATAGTCAGAAGTGTTTACAGGAAGGGTCACATTTGCATTATGTAAATTGAGGTGTTTACATCCAGCTGCAGAAGCATGTCCTCATTACAGTGTCACCACTGGCAAAGTGAGTTTAGAAAGCTTCTGGTAATTTCTTTGGTCCAGTTTATCACATGCTGAATTGATCTGGTACAGATATTTGGAGACTGTACTGTTATCTCTATCGGATTTTTTTAAACACAGAAAATTGTAAATACGCAATTCTACAAAGAATTACACTGGTCTAACTCAGTGAATGCTGGACTGCAAGGTAAGAGGAGGACTGAATGGCCAGGATAGGGTAGATGGGAATATTTTGAACTGGCTGTTCCACTGTGAAATACCTGTTTGGAACCACACCTTGCTATTAAGCATTTTGAAGTCAACAAGCAGGGAGGGGCATAGAAGAAGTATAGGCTCATGACAGAGGTAGAAGAGATGCCAAAGGGGACAGCTAGGGAAATAGAGTCCATTAGTGTAGGAGATGGGTTGGGATAAAAGGCAGTCAAAGCTGATTGTCAGAACTGATTGCTGCAGGAAGGTTATCAAGATAAATTTTAGGTAAGGCAAGCTTCAATGATGGAGCTTGTCCAAAATCTAAAGTGAATGTAAATAATAATGGAATTAGCTTTAGTGAAGTGATAAATGGTGAAAAGAAGTTCAGACACTACTTTGAAGTAATTTATTTGCAAATTTGTTGTGAGTGTTCCGGGTACTACCAAAATCTGTGCCTGGAATTCTCTTGGGAAAGGGAAGCCTAAAACCAGGTTCCTGATTCAGTCTCAGTGTCAAACACCTCATGACAAGGCTGGGTCTTCTGAAGACTGAGTTGTCCCTTGCTGTGTTGAAAGGGTGGTTGGGAAGATGACATCACCAGATACTCATTAGAAAGTTTCACTCAGTGCCTCCGTAATGTGACAGGACAGTGGACAAGAAGGGTGAGACTCAGGAGCCCCTCAGATTGCAATGATTTGTGAAATGCATCAAGATTTTCTTTAAACCAAAATGAATTACATTTTCAAGACCGTACTAAGATTAGTCATGAGTAGTGGTAGTTACTAGGAAAATATGTACTGCAGAAACAAAACCAAAAAAACCACTGTGAATTCCACTGCAACAAATTGTCTTACAAGATGGCTGTTTGTTTCTCTTTTAGAATAAAAATTTGCAAAACAAACAAAGAAGCAAGAAAAACATACCACGGGATTACAGTGAATGGGACAAGTATGTTTAATTAATTTTATATTTCAGTTTTTAATAAATCTTATTTAACTAGGGAACACAGTGTATTTTGCAGAAACATAGTATTAAGGTCAGCATTTTAAGGAACTGTAACAATGGTCAAACTTTGGTTTTTCTTAATAAATGTTCTGTTAAAATGCAAATGACACATGTTGCTAACAGTTGAGAATAAGTTAGTGTACACTTTTGTACAAGGTGTGTGAAATACAGTAAACCAGCAGAAAAATAAATAAAAATTAATTATTTAATTGATGAGATTTTTAAAAACAGCTCTAGGGTTACTTAACATGGAGCTGTAAACATGGACTTGTCTATATCTAAGGCACAGTTCTACACTGAAAACAAAACTGATGAATACTTACTCCTGCACTGAACCCCACTAACCTCAAAGAATGAGCTTCAGGCAGTGCATCAGTTTACTCAGATGCAATTACACTTAATAGAAGTTTAGACAGTAACTATTTTAGAATGGATGAAGCTCTGATACAAAGACATTCTGCCTCATGTAATGGTGGCACATCACCTTCCCAAGTTACGTGGCAGGTTCATGCCCAAATGGTTGAACACCGAAAGCAAAAAGCACATTGTTATTCTTGTGTTGCACATTGTAGAAGCTTTTCTGTAGTTCCTGAAATCTGGAATACAATGGTGTAGAATCAGAGTGAGGAGGCACAAATTTCCAGTGCAGTAGATGGAGATACTGTGGGGTTTGGGTAATGAAACTATATCCCAAAGCCCTTAAAAAACCCCTGTTCTGCATAACTTTTGCATAGCAGTTATTTTCATGCACTTATCTTTCAGAAATTGGTGCCTTCCTGCTCAAATGTGGACAAAGAAATTAGGTCATAAAAATAATTTCTGCAACAATTTATTGTTTCATTTATTCTTTACTCTTGGTACTGTATCTTTCCAAAGTAATTGTACAGATTTTGTTTACACATTTATGTACACAATCTTTAAGTGCTTTAGCATGCTGATAGTAGTAAAGGTTGTGAATTTTCCCATAGAGTGTATTTATTTTGGATTATGAGTACGCTGAAACAGAGCTGTCTGAAAGATGTTTTCCAATATAAAGCATATCATAGTTTTAAAATGCTTTGAGGAAAATTTCAAAGCTTTCAAATAATTGTTTAGGCAATTTCTAAACAAAGTGTTTCACTTCTTATTTTAAAAACATTTATTTGCAATGTGGTTAATTTATAATAAACAGGTAAAAGTAAGTTAGCAAAAGATCAGATTCAAAATGGAGAACAATTTGTGTTATGTGAAAAGGTTTTGAGTTGGAGAAATTTTCCAAATAGTATCTCAATTTCAGAAAGAAAATATTCATATTGTCAAGATTATTGTGAAAAGGCTATTTTCCTTTAAACCCTACACAAAAAAGCAGTAAGAACAGTGTTTCTGTGTAGTGTAGGAATTGATTATTACTATATTTATTTTACAATATTACAGCAGCAATATTTCTTTGATATACATTCCTAAACATTGTTTTCAAAAGCTGCTTTAGTGTAGCTTTTGAAATGTCTGAGACTTCTTGTCTCAAGTTTACAGTATAAATTGCTTTGAAGCTGTTTCTTAGATATTTTGGCAAAGGTTAATGGAAATGTTTGATAGAGCTGGGATGGAGCCTGATGATACTGTTTCTTAAATTTTTTCCTTTTTTGGGGAATATGGTGAGGAGGTGACACAGAGATTTTTCTTGGTCACCAATAATTGAATGCAGCCTGTATCTCTTTTCCTTTGGTTTATAATGAAAATACAATATGCCTTTCTATCAGCTGAGGAGTCTTGCCATGCAGCATTATTGAATTGGTTGTTTTATGAATTAAAGGTTCGATGTGGAAAAGGAATGTTCTAAAATTGATGAAGACTGTGAAGAAAGTAACTCAAAAGCAAGATTCTTCTGTAGGCCAAGTCTACCCATAATTGAAAAGAAAATTGACACAACTGGTAATATCTTAGAAACGTAATTTTTCTTTAGTTGTAATACTATCTTGTAGAGTATGAATACTAATTAAAGAAGTATATAATAAAGTGCCTTTATTTTTCAGCACCTAGAGATGCTGAAAGTTGTTAGATCATCAAGTGAGCTTGAAGCCATGTTTGAAAAAAGTCTAGTCTTGGTTAATAAATAGTAAGAATGTTTATGTTTAGTTGACAGCACAAGGTAAAGAAGTAAAGCATACATCTGGTATTATAAATGAATGGTAGAGGTTAGCCAAGTGCTTTTTTCTACAGTTCTTCATGCTCAATTGTATGCCTATCAGAAGAATTTAGTGTTTTATTACAGAAAATAAAATACAAATTTATCCTTTAGTAAGCCATGTGCTTTTTAAAAAATGCAGACTATGAGATTCAGAGTATTTTATCTCACTGTTTTGGTTACATCTGTGCAAGTTGCTAGTTGTTGTTATGTAGAAATATTTTTTGCTAGGAATGACAAAGAGAGAGAAAATTTTTATTGCTACTCGTGAGAAAGAAAAAGGCAATGAAGCCTTTGCCACTGGCGATTATGTGGAAGCAGTGACATATTACACTCGGTGAGTAAATATTATTGTGTTCATTTATTTTAATAACTCTTACTTGTGAATGTTTGTTTCAGACCAGTGTAATTGAAGCAACTTCTTATTGAAGCAACTAGTGACAATTAGTTTATTTTCAAAAGAGCAGAAAGATTTGACAGAAGAATATTTAAAGCACTGATCCATACTCATATTAATTTTTATTTATCAGAAGAGAAGGGGCTAGAAAGTGATGGAATGCAATCTGCAGTTGTCACAAACTTCCTCAGATTTTTTTAAACCATTGAGATTCAAGGGCATGTTTACAAAAATAAAAGGATAATCAGAGTGCTGAGAAACTAAATAATTACAAATGTAATTTAACTCTGTGCTCTGAAATGGTAACGATTTAAAAAACCCCTAGAAATCAGAAAGTGTCAAAGTTGTTGTTTAGAAATTTAGAGTACATGGGAATCTTGGGGTATTAATTACCAGTGTAAATGGAGGATAATGATATGACACTACTGTGAGATGAAATGTGAAGATAATTAATGAGCTACAATATTATAGTGGGATAACCATAAAAAAAGTATGAGAAAGTTAATACATTTGTGGTCAGTGCAGATAAGTATGGAGAAAATAATGAATAGAAATAGTGTGGAACAGAAATAAAATAAAAATGTACGAGATTTATGTTTAGCAATTATCATTCATATTGATAATGTCAATGAAGGAGTTAGGATTTTGTAGAAAAGCTTATGAAAATTAATGTGGAGGTTGCTGATATAGATAGATATGTATATATGTATGTGTGTGTGCACACTTGGAATGATATTCATAGAGCACAAGCTGCTTAACTGAGGCATTTGATGCATGATGGGTTTGGTTTTTTGCAGCTCAAGGATCTTTCTTGTTTTGTTTGGGTTTTTTACACAAACATTTAAAAAGTCTATAGCTGTATTTCATATTCAATAAATAAAATACAAATACATAATATAAAAATAAGTAAAAACGTCTGCTTTTGGTGCATAAATAAGGTACTAATAACTAAGGATAGGCAGAATCCTTTCTAATGGAGAAATGCTCCCTTTTTGGCCCCCATGGAGCATTGCGTGCCTTCTGAAATGTATGATAGTGACACCATGCTGTTCTAACCGGTCACTTTTCTAATCCTATCTGCAATCTACTTTCTCAGAATTATAAATATTTAAGTAAAATATTTTGGAGTGAGTAGTTAATAATCTGAAGGGGTCATCTGTGGCTAGAATGGAAAATGACCTCTTCTTCTTACCCATTGGCTTTCTTGACTGGCTTGTCAGTCTCTTGCCTGTTCCTCTTGTGTGAAGACAAACCTTCACACATTGAATCACTGCTTAGACTAGAATGCATCTCCTCTTCTTCCTCGTCCTCCTACCCTTTTTAAAGGGCATGCACAGATTATCCCACTGGGATCATAGCTGCATAGAGCTTTTATTATTTTTTTTGTTTCCTATGTGTTGTGCGTTTGTGGACAAGTATTTGAGATTGTTCTTCAGCCATGGTTTTTTTCACCAGGAAATTGTGTCTATTGCAGTGTGCAGTCCCCCAGGCACTTCCATTGCCATTCTTTCCAGAGAGCACAGTTTAGGGTCTTCCTTGCAACATTACCAAGGTTGTTGGCAAAGATTCCCTTATACCATTTTGTTATGTGCATCCTAGCTGTCCTTGTTCCTCAGAGACGATCCTGTTGTCAAAGAAACTAAAACCCTACCTACAATACCAGCCCTGCAGCCAGACATGGACCTGGACAATTCATCCACAGCTACCTGAGTCTGTCCATCTTACAAGCAAGATCAAGGAGAATCCCTTGTGTCCTCCCCCACCACCATGCTTTTCATCATAATCCCCAGAGCTGTGTAGTTACTGTTCATCTCTGAGAGGTTCCATCTGGCAGTTTCTTTGGAGTCTACATGGATGACAGGAGGAGGCAGTAGTCTAAGTGACAGATGAGCCATGGCATCTCCTCTGCAACACCTCAGGTCTAAGTCCTGGCAAGCAAGAGGCCTCTGAAGACAGTAAATCTAGTTGGTGGATGGTTGCCTGTGATGACTTAGGAGGGAGTCTCTAACCACTACTGTGGTTAGAATACCAGTATTAATATTCCTTTAGCTTCCAGTAGTGAAGTTTTTATAGATTCAGGTTTTCCAACTCTGACTCTAACACGAGCAATATTCCCTTTCTTTTAGGAGTTTATCAGTAATACCAACTGCAGCTGTGTATAATAACAAAGCTCAAGCAGAAATCAAACTTCAGGACTGGGACAATGCTTTGCAGGATTGTGAGAAGGTACTAGACATGGAACCTGGCAACATAAAAGGTAAAGTAGAAAATAAAATTTCAATGTAATATTTTACCTCTAGCAAATGAAATGGTATATGTTGTTAGTTGACTGAACTGAGCTTTATACAAATAAGGAGCAGCATAGCTCCCCAAAGCAGTTTTAATAGTTCTTTGGGGGTTAGTGAAGTTCTATGCAGTTCATACTGTTGCTGTGTAAAGGGAATTCTTATATGGCAGCATGTCTTCCGTATGATAACTATAAGCCTTCTTGTATTCATGCAGTGTTTCCATAATACCCACACTGAATTATAAACTAATTTAAAAGTGACATGAAAACAAGCAAAGTTGTTGGTTTATTCCTTTCTGAAGTCAAGGACTTGAATGTAGCTAACTGTATTTCCATGGATGGAGGTGGAAAATTTGAAAATTATGAAAAGGTGCTTCACAATTCATGATTGTTGCCTCAAAAGCTGTCATGTGAAATTGCATCATTAAAAATCATCAAGAAAACAGTTGTTACTAATATAAAATTAAGTGCAGAATTTTCAAACTACATAACTGCACTTACTATATCTAGAAAAACCAGTGTGTTTTTATTCACTTTATACTTTAAATACATAAATAATGCACTTCATTCTTTTGTAGCTCTGATGCGTCGTGCCACTGTGCACAATCATCTGCAGAATTACCAGGCAGCTATAGAGGATCTGAATGAAGTGTTGTCTGCTGAACCAGAAAACTCTATGGCTAAGGTAAAGATCAGTGAGTTGAATGTGGCTAGAAAGAGGTTGTACACAGTTGTAGCCTAAAGTGAGTACAGTTCATGTTGTTTGATGTAACTATGAGTTTTGATATGCTGTGCCATTGATCAGCTTCCCAAGACCACATGTGGTGGAAATTAGGTATTGAATGTGGCCAGATCTTCTGTTCATGACTTGATTGTGGGGAAAAGCCTTCTCTATTAGTGTAATTTAGGTGTCTAAAACATTTTCTGCTGAACTTGCTTGCAGTATTAGTGTCTTGCTGATCAAAGCTATTTGGAAATTTCTCTTGAAAACATCCATTGAGATAGATGCATTTAAGTTTGAGTACACGAGAGGAAAAATTCAACTGATGCCAAGCTTTTGTTGTTACAGTGGTAAAGTTTACCCAAAAGGAGAAGAGCTGGATTCTGTTCTTGTGTGTTATTATAAATCTTCATTTCTCATCTCCAGGGTAGAATGAAAAACCTTTCGTACCTTCTGATAAATCTGGACTCTTCATAACCAATTTTGGATCAAAGAAAGCCAGACACTTCTTTGAAAATTAAGGTCAGGATGTGGTCCTTGCACTACTATTACTCTGGCTGTTAAGGAGAGGATTGGTTTGTGTCCTTTATTGATATCTTAGGGATATTTTGCAGGTTAGAACAGTCCGTGCATTTGGACTCTGTGTGTCCTGAGAACCTTCTGTACTGGGCAGTTTTGATAGTAAACTGCTCATTGTATGTTAATTATGAGTCCATCATACTACTGCCCTCCCAATGTTTTTACATGTGACTTCTGGATGCTGTGCAATTGTCCCAACTTCTGACTTCTGTCCAGCTCTTGTTGGTGGCACATTGTAAGCTGCTAGCAGCTTGTTGATTGCTGCTTCTTTCCATGGAGTTATTTATTACTATTGCTTATACCAGAGAAGGTGGTACATGCCTCTTGTTTTAAATTGACCACATACAGCATTTATCCTTTTTAGGGTGCTCCTGGAGCTAAGTTCCTGTCCAGAATAGTTCCTGAGTTTCACATCAACCAAAGAATTAATTACATGTCTTTAGATCTGAGTTCTGAAAGAGATTTTGGTCTTTTTCTTTTCTATTTACAAGACTGAATATCTAAATAGTTTGTGAGTCTGTGATGACAAATTGTACAAGTCTATGTGAAAAGACGTATCAAATAGGCTGTGCTGAGACTTCTTATAATACCAGACAGAGATAGTCACTCATTTTGATTACACTCTTCCATGACTTGCTTTGCTGAGCAGTGCTTTTGTAGCTGAAAGCAGATATCTGTACTTTGTCCTTATTCATGCCAGCTATTATGCCTTGGCTGGCACATACAAAAATGAGAAGTGCTTGACAGGGCATTTTTTCAAGTTTCTCATTGCTTGGAGAATCCTCAAAACTCTTGAGATAAATATGAATGTATGGAACATATGCAGAGTGCATGTTCATATCCAGAATCACTAGTAGAAAAGTGAATTGATTGTCAGTAACTGGAATTCTTCAGGGTACTTTGTCCATGTGAATCTTTGCTTGATCCTGTTCTTGTCTTTTTCTTGAGACAGGAAGTACTGAGAATGGCACTTTCTTGCACAGCATTGAATTACAATTACATCAGAATACCACATAATTCTGGGTGTGTCTTACTCTGCTCTGACAGTGTAAAGTGATTTAGTGCTTTATGGGTTACAGTGATAGTGCTGGGCTAACAGCTGGCCTTGGTCTTAAAGGTCTCTTCCAACCTTGATGATTCCAAGTGCAGTTAAAGGGGATTTTTTGAGTAATGGAAAAATATTATGGAATGAGAAGCTGTTTGATCATTTAATTGCAGTTCTTATAAAGGAGCAAACCTTATCATTGTTCCACAGTGTCCTTTGCTACACTGTTAAGGGACTGTTGTCTCTTGGTTCTTGTTCTCTCAGTTGTATTTTTCCATCAGTTGTCCATCTGACATCAGATTCTCCGCAGCATAAGTTTTGATTCTGATTTTAGGCTATTTTGGAGATTCTCTAGGGTACCTGTTTTCCACATCTCTTCTTAGTAGACCATGCCAGATCTCACAATCATAAATCTACTTTTTTCCTTTGAATTTAGTGTTTTTTTTATTTTTGATAAGCAGTGCATTCAAGAAAAGTATTTATTTATTTATGTGATATCTTCACACAAAGATGTGAAGATATCGTGTCTATTTCTTGTGAGAGAGACAGAAATTCACTATTACTCTTGGTTTGATGCTGACTCTTGTCACATTTATTACCATCTTTTTATATTGGCAACATTTATCTTGATAATTCTTCAGAATTTCACAGGGATTATTTAAGAGAATGTATTTGCTGGATGTGACCTGTAATTTATATACATAATAAAAAAACTTCTGCTATTGCTGATTTTTCTCTCTATTGTAGAAAAGTCTGCTAGAGATTGAAGAGAAACTGAAGGGTTTAAAGCCTGTATCTGAGCCTCAAGGCAAAGGAAAAAAAATACTTATTGAAGAGATAGAGGATTCAGAAAGTGGTGAAGGAAGAGAGGAAAATACAGAAGAACGTGAAAGACGTGGTGGAGATAAAAGTAATGTTTTATCATTTCCTACTTTATTTTAACCTAAGGGAAAAATAGTTGTCTTGAGATAGTAATGTTTATTCACACAATTCATCCATATATTCTTGCAAAGAATTTTGCCTGTTCGAAGACTAAACTTACACTGACTACTTAAAGTAGATCTGAGTGTGAAATCTAGAGCCCAGTTTTGTTACACATCTTTGTAATTCTTTCTAGAATGGGCATAACAGAGACAAATGGAAAATGTTGCTATAAATCACCTACTTCCCTGTAACCTGTGTAATTTTACACCTGCCCTTTGATGTGGACCCAGTTAAAAATTTCTTCTGATGAGGGAACATTTTGTGTTCCTGAGATCTTTCTCTCACACAGCTTTCCTGCCTTCCCACCAGCACATTTTTCTCATTTTTTTTTCCCATGCTTGCATCAAAGGGTGTAAAAATGATCAAGTGTAATTTGTTAACATC